GATTGCACCGATATCAAATAAGTCATGAGCTTTCTTAATTAATCACTACAATTGCCACGCATTGATATTACTTTCAAACGAGATGTAGAATTAGTGTTAGTGTGAGAAAGTTTTCGCTTAGAAGACTGGGCAAAAAAAGGTTTATCCGGAGGAATATCTACTGAAGTGTGTTTCTTCATCTGTATGAGATGTGCCCATGTTCTCAATTATTCCATCGTGTAATTACCAGTGGCTTCATGTATACCTGAAAGTTGTTTAACAATCTCATCTACTTCCTTAAGCTTCTCTGATATAGCTTCACTACATGTAACCTTAGTTGATGGAGCTCCAGAAGTAATATCATCAGTCAAGTCCTCTGCTGAGCGTGCATGCTTTGAGGTTTGGTGTGCCAAGTCATAATTTTGAAAGTCCAAAGCATAACTTCCTGAAAACTTGAGTGAATATTATACATGTCATTTAAGTCTTCTCCATTATTTAGCCACCTCTGTTTACCTTTCGCTCCATGCCCAGGCTCAAAATATCCTACTTGCTCTGGTGGACTATTGCCTATTTCATCACAAAATGCTTTCACTTATTCTTCTTTCAATTCCGCAATAGTCTCAAATTTCTTTTTGACACAAAGCCTGTGCACCTCATACTTCGATTTACGAGACTGATTGATGATTTTTACCGAATAATGTAGATCCTCTTTTGGGCTACAAGCTGTGGCTTGACTAGGTAGCACAATATCCTAGAAACATAAGAGCACAAGTGACTGACTGTTGAAACATATACAATCAGTAATTATAACTAGACCAGGCGCCAGATTACAGTGAAGCCTCGGTGTAGAACTATTTTAGATTTTGCAAACCCCTTTGTACCTTAGAGGCTTGGTTTCTCGTGTTATTCACCTGTTGGCCTGCCTGGTCAGCCTTTCCAATGATGAGAGGCCCAAGAAAATACGATACTGCCACCTTACAGCCTGTGGTATAATCAGTCACGTGAGTGATAAGGTGCTAATGTAGTTGGGGCTAACACACAGCTAGCTAAGCTGGTGTTCAGAGTCAACTGCAAACTGCGGTACCTTTGTTTCCAATTATTAGCACAAATTCGTGTCAACAACAATAGCCTTCTGAGTAAAATGGTGAGGTCAATTTTGATTCATTTAAAAAATAAGAAAATACGTTTACAGTAATGTTCCAGGAAATTAGTTATTGTTCATAGGGTTTATTAGTTTTAGCATACTTAGTGACATATCTTTATCCTGGCCTGTTTTTACTAGCATCATTTATCTATGCAGTCTGTTTTTCTGCTTTCACAAAGTTTGCCATAATATAATATAGAATTTACGTTCTTTATTTTAAAATGGGTAATTTTCTGCAATGCATGCATATATTAAAGTTGAATCATTGCTCATGTATAGGCATTAATAACCCATTTTCCTCATTTTGTTGCTCTTAACCCAACAATTACAGCTCTTTCAATTTCTGAATAGAAGAATCAATTACAAAAGGATAACTCTCTTGAAGGTTATTATTATTATTGTGAAGATTGTTACACATTTTTAGAAATTTCTCTTCCACCCATAATTTGTATGAGAGGGCGGCCTAAAGGTCATGAATCAACTCTAATTGGTCTTCCATTGAAAAGAAGGACAAAGGGACAAAGTTGTTCTCTTCATAAAACTTCACACATCAGCTAAAAAAAGAAGTAACATGTTTACCGCTTTTATTAATGTTTTTCCGAGTTATGTTAGGTTGGTTTGTTTGTGATGAAATTGCTACAATGCTTCTTAAGAATTCGAAGAAGCTGATTGAAGAGACAGATGTTGATGTCAGACCTGAAAATTTTCCAGATGCTATTTTAGGCGAGAATGTCGATGAGCACGTTATCTGTCAATACTTCTTTAATGATGCTTGGTTCCTTGTAAAAGATGTTGTAAGATAAAAGCATAACCCAGTATACACATGCAGAAATTGCTGTCATGACCTTCATATGTTTCCTTAAATCATATGTAACTATTACCTAAATTTGTATCATATAAAGTGTGTAAGATTAAAGAAGAATCCAAAAACCAAACATTGGTTTTGTCGAAAGTGTAATTAGCTCTGGAACACAATGTATAGCCATTGTATTTTGATATTGCATTTAAGTACATTTTTGTTAATTTTCTAGTCAATTTTTGAGTTTTGACTGGCATGCAACAATTAGAGAATATCAGTTGTACTATAGTTATACAAGTCAAAGCTTGGGAATTGCCTGGCTTACAAGACTACACTGAGTTCTCCCTGAACCGGCTTGTTATGTGCCATGAGTGTTCAGCCACCATGCATTATCAACCACTGGTACAAGTAGTTCCTAGACAAAAGAGACTAACTTGTTCATGAATAGGTGCAACTATAAAAGCTCATTCAGGATATCGAAGATTAAAGCTCTACCTTTTCTTCTTTAAAAATGAGAGCTGGTACAGTCCGGTGGGTCAAAAAATTCTTTCCTGGTCAAAAAAAAATTGTTAATCAGCACGTGTCTTTTTAAAATTTTTTTACAAACATCTTAGCTGTCCTTTTTCGTAGCAATATAGATGCACCTTTAGTCTAAAAGCTCAGCAAGTTTGAACAGTTTAAGTTCCCTACTTATTGCCATAGCCATTATTGAAAGTGCTTGGTTGTGTGATCAATAATCATTACTTAGATCTAATTTAATTTTAACCATTTAAAACTGGTATGGTGGTTATTACTTTCAGGTACTATTTTATGTACTATTTTCTTTTCACTTGTTTTCAGGTTTTTTAACTCATATCTAGGGAGTTAATGTGAATTAAGTGAGCATCAACTAACATGAAGAAAGCTCAATTGTGGAGTGACTAGAGTGTAGATTGCATCTAGCCTGACCCTGATGAACAGGGACCAGCATTTTCTTCCTTTTATGAGATATACTTAGTTCGTGTATTGACACTTAAAATTTTGATAATATAATGTGCATAGAAACTTTTGAATTCACCACTATATGTCCTGGAAGAGGACCATGAAAGGCTATCCTAAGAATAGTGACATGATGTGTTGAAATGATGCCGGAAGGTGGCATCACCCATGAATGACTCATCTATGTGGTGTAGAGCTAGAGGACATGGCTGAGCTAGGATAATGTATTACAAGTTACAACTGTACAAATATTTCTAACAGCATTGATTAATTATTATTTAGGAAACAGTTAGTCTAACGACAGTTTTTTTAAATTTAATACAATGAACTGATTATAATTATCATGAACTACAATTAATAAATGAGTTAAAGATTATTAAATGCTAATTATTTTTCATAGCACAATTGTTACATTTCCAACCATCTTCATCAATTACAGTTACACGTTTGTTGTGATAACAGGATAGGCAACATCCACACTCTATCATTTTATCATCAAAGCACTCAGGCATTTGACTCGAACATTGCACATTGATAATAACAGTAGATTCCTTTGAACATGAATGCCGAACTTTCCTTTCAGGAAAAGCTACTATTCTTTTGCTTTCAATGCAAAAAATCAGATGTTGTCTCATCTTTTTTTGATCAAAGCACACTTCACTTAGTTCCTTTCCCATGCAGGCAGCCATAGCAAACGCTACTGCAAACAAGCCACAATCTTTTGAACCTTCTTGCTGTTGTACTGGTACTCTTATAACTCTAATGAATGAATCAATTGTTTGCATTATATTATCAATTTGTAGAATTGTAGCATTAGCAAAGTGAGTTGGAGCTACACTGTCATAGTAGTAGACTTCACGATTACTGGTAATTAGAATACATACTCAGTTTGAAGTACCAGAAATTAATAAAAATTTGCTCAACACAATTTTCAAACTATGATTATGTGAATTCAAAGTCAACAAGTAAGCATATTTGCATTACCTGTTTGCAAAATCTGAACAAATTCAGTATTTGTTTTTGAAATTGGTTTAATTTTATAACGCTGCCCATTAACAGGATGCTGCAATCCACCAACAAAATAGTCTCGCTTCAGTAAAATTTGAGCAGCATTAATGATACGATCATTCAAACATGATCCATTTAAAATGTGACACCTATCTTCATCTC